TTTTATTCCATATTTTATCATATAACTACACGTTCTTACTATTTAACTTATTTACAGTTACAGTGTTTGGAGGAGGTTAAACACAGGTGCAAAGTTAGGCAAAAGTTTGGTGATGGAAAAACTGGACATACTGAATATTTCTGTATATTGGGGTCCCTAAACAGTGTTGGAATTGTATAAATTGGGTATGACTGGAAAGCTGAGACTCAGTTGTATTCATGTGTGATGATGTTAGTCCTCGTAGTCGCCATTTCATTGAGCTTGAGACTATTTCTTGTATAAAATGAGCTATTGTGACCTTGAGGAGAATCACAGCCTGATGAGACTGAACCAGAGACTACAGACTGAGGGATGGATGGCTGTCAGAGCTTTATGGATAATTATTGCAGTTCTAGCAGCATTTAACTGTGTTTTAATGTGAGATTTTTTTAACCATTTTTACTAAAAGATTTTTATATTTAGACCCCCTGGTTGTGAGCCAGCTCAGTATTGTCTTAACAAAACAGATTTCCCCAGCTTTTAGTATAATATATAATATAAATAATAGTTTAACTCTTATAAAAAGGACAGAAATATGTTTATTATAAGGAGGGGGAGTAGAAGAAACCCTGTAGACCTATTAGTAGGGTTATTGTAGTATTATATTCAACTATGTTTTACAGCAAACCCCAAACAGACATTTGGGGTTTGCTGTAAAACATGAGACTTTCCATCAGGTCAAAACCAGCTTTTGAAGCACTTCTGAATGTTAAAGCTGTTTGTACGTCTCCCTGACTCCAAACACAACATCAGGCTTTAGGGCGGCTGTACCTTTATGAGCGGGTTGGTGCAGATGTGATGAAGAAGCAGTCAGAGGGGGATGAAGGAGCACAGGGGGGGCGTTGGGGCTTGCTGCAGCCTCCCTCACTGTGCTGACTCCAGATGAACTCCAAGAACAATCAGAACGGAGCCATTCCCCTAAAAAATATGTCACTGAAATGATGCAAACGTGTGCCATTGCTCACAACCTGCCCCGGGGCAACGCACATCTGAGGCCATTCACGGCAATATGCCCTTTTTTAATTGCACCGCATTTTCCACGATGGCCAATTCTCTGTAATATATGTCGCCTCCTTTCTGAGTCGGAGGCTTTAGTAGCTTTGCCCTCCCTCTCTTCTTACCCTCTCTGCTTCTGCTGTTTCTCCTCCTCAGCCTAATCCCCAACCCCATTCATCCTCCTTTCTCTCCTCATAATGTCACTTATCTTCCTCTCCTCCCTCCTTTCTCTCAGACTTTACCTCCAGCTGTAACACATTTAACTCACCTTCCTCCTCCTCTGTTGCAGACACTGTCTACATGCTATACTTTCACACCCAATGTTATCTCTTTTCCTTCCTCTCCTCCCTTCATCCCTCTCTCTCTCAGTCCTCCAGGCTAAAACCTTTAATATTTTACCCTCCCTTCCTTCCTGTCCTCCGTCTCCACCTCACTATCTATCCATCCTGCCGTTCACTTTTAAAATCTTCTTCTTCTTCCCTCCCTTCATCTCCCTCCATCTCTCTCTTCCTCTGCCTCCATCCCTCTTTAGCTTTTAAATCCCTCCACTCCCTCCCCCCTTCTCTTCCCCCCTCCCCCCTCCTGTCAGATCACATCAGATCATATCAATCAAGCTCCCCCGTTGATGAGCAGCGTGAAGATATTCTCGTGCTTTTAACCTCCCCAATAAACCCGTCTCATTGACGCACAGTCCGACTGTACGGAGGCGCTCACAGAAAAGTCCAATGTGCATTTAAAAAAAAGAAGGAATGAATAGAAAAGATTTAAGTCAGTGTTTTAATGCAGTTTACAGACGAGTGAACGAGGATTGGACTCAACCGGCGCCGTGTGTGACCCGTCTGCTCATTTAAAGAGATATAATGCGTATTTTATGTGACAGCTGATGTAAAACCCATTGGCTGCTCGGCTCATCTGAACTTGTTGTGCTTGTTCGTTTTTAGAGATCTCAATACTTTAACTCCGTGGTTCCCAACCTGGGGGTCGGAGCGCCCACTAGGGGTCGCCAAAGCTTCACAGGGGGTTGCGAGGGCTTCTTGATTTTAACTAGAAAAACCTTAAAACTTAACACAATATCTTTATCGTTAGTCACTTTTATTCCATCGATACTTAATAAAATGTCTTCTGTGATTTGCACTTACAGTGATTTTAATATTTTAAAACATAATAATAAATATTATAATTAGTTTCTGACTATAGATCCTCGCAGATGTTTCACACATAGACCTTAAATTACAAACATTTTAGGTATCAGTTTAAAATTTCATTATTACATTTATAATTTATAAAACCAACAGACTTACTCCTCCTGCCCTTACCTCACCTCTTCCTCTTCCTCCTCCTTTCTTTATTTTTAATCCCGCCACTCATCCTCCTCTTACCCATCTCCTGCTCCTCCCCTTCTCCTCCCCCTCTGTTTGTCCCACGGGCTGAAGCTGTTCTTCCAAACGTGATTATATCTGTCACACTGTACGCTGGGGGCCTCTTATTAGAGCCAATCGGAGTTGACAGCGTGGGCAAAAGAAGCCAAAAAAGAAAATGGACGAAGTGGAAGGAAGGATGAAGAGAGAGGAGGAGGAGAGATAGAGGACAGACTGGAGGTGGTTTCTGAGAGGGATGAAGAGAACAGAAGATCATGACCTCAGACGCAGCGCGATCACCTTTCAGGAAAATCTACTTTCAGTGAAATAAAAGGTCAAAGATTGGATCCCGACAACGCGATCCAGCTGACTGTCAGCACCATTTCTACAACTTTAGAGAGTTTGTTTGCTCCCTGCATCCATTTCTACACTGTAAAAAAACAGCAGCTGGAGCACCCAAAAAAATATTTTTTGTGTAATTTTAATATTTACACATGTAAAAGCAATCAAATTACAGTTACAGATTTTTCAAGTAAACTCATAAACTTACAGATAGTTTTTTACAGTGTAGTTAAAATCCCCTCCAATGCTGCTCTTTCCTCCATTACAGATTTCAACGCTTCCTTCCAACTCCCCCCTGCCCCCCCGCCCGCCCCCCCCTCGAATTTAGAAGGTCGGCGTTCAAGGTGTTGCAGAGCGAAAAGGCCAACATCAATTTCTGCGCATCGCCGGTGGACTCATACTGACGGCCTTTTCTTATGCAAATCTGCCAGAGTTTGAGAGCTCTCCGCCGGTGACCAGCCGCCCCCCACCCGATCGCGAAACTGCCCGCAGATTGTCCCATTCACCACCCCACGGCGTAGAGCTGCGGAGTCTCAGCCGGGGTGGCCGGACGTCAGCCCTCAAAAGAGGAGAGGGAGGTTTTTAAGAGGTCACAGTGGGTGAAACCCGGAAAGATATATAACGACACTGAAACACCATTCTGTCAAAAATTGTGACACTGATACTGATACACATGGATCGTAATTAAAACACATGGTATCTGTAACATAACTGTTTTTATTAAACTGTGAGTTGTTATAACGAACATGGTACCGACCGAAATGTGTCCATCGCTCCATCAAACATCATACAGCCATCCAACCATGGCCGCGGTCTGTATATAATGTGATGTCGAAACGGCCCCCGCTGAGAACCGAAGCCTTGTTAAAAGGGTCATCATTTCCTGCTGTGAAGATGTGACCCACAAGTGCTGTCTAAAAGTAATCACAATAGAAGTCCTTAAAAATCAGGTGCTAAACAGGAACACAGGAATAGTCGATAGGGAGAAAAGCAGGATGGAAAGCTGCTGTGATGCGTAATGTCACGTCCCATTAGTGAGGAGCGTTAATCGCACCTGCAACACACAGCGGTGCTTCACATTGAGGTTCAAATTATCTATCTATATATACTATATATATATATATATATATAACTACAGTATATAATGATATATTCAAGTTCAGGCAAGATTATTGCAGATCTCTCTTGATGGAGAGGTTTCTAATGGAAGCGTCATTTCTGCCAGTGTGACGATTCTTAAAGTCTTTATGAAAACCGTTCTCCAAGTATCATATCATATTAGTATCTTAAAGTCAGTATTTCTATAAGGTTTCTCATTATATTGACTTACAGAATCCTTTTTTTGGCAGATGTGGGCTTCCATACTTTCCTCCCTGAGACGATTTGTGTCCAGTAACCTCGTTTTTAAAGTAATTTTTACATTTTAAAGCCTCAGAATAAACTAAAAGGTTCAGATGCTATAAAGTTAGCGACTGACGGAGCTGCAGAGGAAACAGTTTTTGGTGTTTATCCAGCCGGGGTCCTCCTGCGGGGGGGCGGCGGCAATAATTCACCGCAGCAATGGCGGGTTGAAAAGGCGGGACCTTTGTGGCTGCAGCATCTGTATGCAGGTGCTGCTGGGATTGAACAGACCCTGCGGTGGTTGTATCGTCTGCGGTTATTAATGGAAGTGGCCGTACGAACAGGGTTTCTGGCCAACAGATGAGCGCTCTCCATAGCCTCATTACCACAATTACCAGTGTAATTAGCTGATTGGCTGATGGGCTGGCTGGCAGGCGAGCTTACTGCCTTCATTTCTCTGTTTTTTTTCTTCTTCTTTCATTCCAGGAAATAACTCGCTGATATTGCTTTAGTGCTTTAATTCTCAGATGTACACTGTAAAAAAGAAACTGGTAAAAAAAATCCAAATAAATACAGTAAAATAACATTTCTGTAATTAAAATACAGTTTTTAGCTTTAATTTGACATTAAATCTTGTGTATTTTCTGTTTTTTGGTAATGTTTAAAGTTATTTATACTCTAAAAACAATGCAATAGCTGTAAATACAGGGGAATTGAGTTTACCAATGCTTACACACTGATAAACAAGATTTAT